CTTCCCCTAATCTGCTGTATATTCCTTCCAATGTGTTCTTCATTTGTGTTATGTCATTCTTTATCTCAGACTGTTCTTTTTTCATAGTTACTATATCTTTTTTCATACTGTTGAGGATTTTTAACATCATTACTCTGAACTCTGTGTCAGATTAATTTCTTATCTCTACTTCATTTATCTCTTCTTCTGGAGAATTTGCTAGTTCTTTCATTTGGGGGTTATTTCTTTGTTTTCTCATTTTAGTTGTCTGTTTGGGTTTGTAACTACGTTTTAGGTAGATGCTCTATAACTCTCAATCTCTAGTGCAGGACAGTGTTAAAGGCTTTTTCTGACTAATTGGATCAGGCAAAGACTCAAAGCCTCCAGAGAAAGCCTCTGTCGCAGCCGTGGGCAAACTACGGCCCGCAGGCCGGATCCAGCCCGTTTGAAATGAATAAAACTAAAAAAAAAAAAAGACCATACCCTTTTATGTAATGATGTTTACTTTGAATTTATATTAGTTCACACAAACACTCCATCCATGCTTTTGTTCCAGCCCTCCGGTCCAGTTTAAGAACCCATTGTGGCCCTCGAGTCAAAAAGTTTGCCCACCCCTGCTTTAGAGAGAGAGGAAGGGAAGCGCGCTCTCAGAGGCCAAGGTGGTGCCTCCTGGGGGTGTGGCCAGTGCCCCCGGCCCAGAGCGGTGCTTCTCGGGGGGCTCTCCCCCCTCGTGACGCTGCCTCTGCGGGGTGTTCCTGGCTCGTTCTCGCAGATCCACTTTCCGGTGTGAATTCCAGGATCCGCGCTTCTACTCCCAAAGGCAGGTTTGGCCCTTTAAGAGGGTGCCCAAACTTTCAGCTGCCACTCCCTGCAGACAGCACCCCACTGCTTTTCACACCTAGATGTTATGTGGATACCCTCCTCAGTTTGGTGCTCTCTGCTGGGGAGCTCAGCTTTGGGATTAGGTCCCAGAGTTCTCAGTGGCACCCCGCCCCCCCACAGCTGAGATATCTCTCCAGGTCTTCAGTTGCAATCTGTGGGTGCCTGGCCAGCCCTTTCGCACCTCCGCCCCTCCTACCAGTCTCTATGCCATCTCCACCTTTGGTCCTTGGGTATCAGGGTTCTCTCCTGTGAGTTTTCCATTGATTATTCAGGAAGCCTTTCTGTATTTCAGTTGTAATTCCAGCTTGTTCCTGGGAGCATGTCCGTGCAGCATCCTTCTACTCTGCCGCCATTTTTAATCTTTGCCCCATCACCTTTTTTAACCATTTCCCTGCCGCCCTCCCCTCAGCAACCATCAGTTTGTTCTGTTTAAAAACAGACTGTTTTTGTTTTATTTTGTTTGTTTATTTGTTTTATTTTGTTTTAGATTTCACATATAAGTGACATCATACAATTTGTCTGTCTCGATCTGACTTATTTTACTTAGCATAATACCCTCTAGGTCCATCCATGTTGTATTAAATGGTAATATTTTATTCTTTTTTATTGCTGAGTAATATTCCATATATATAATTGTGATTTATATGTCACAATTTCTTTATCTGTTCATAATTAACCTATATTTTCTCTGGCTGTGGAACTATGGATTTTTTTCCTATTCAACTTTGTATCTTTGTTTGTTTCCCAAAGAGTATGGTCATTATGTACTACTTTTGCAATCATAAAAATACACTAAATACTATACACACACACACACATACACACGCACACACACATTAGTGAAAAAGAGATGGGAATATCTTCCCACACTACTTAGCTCTGTAGAGAAGGCCTTTGCTTCCCCTCACAGCTTTACACAACTCTTGACATGGGTCGGTTTTTGTTCGCAAGTGGGCAGATCATCATGGATGTCAAACAGGTTATTATTGTCTACCCCTTAAATCAAGGTTGGTTTACCAGTGGTTGGCAAACTGCGGCTCGCAAGCCACATGCGGCTCTTTGGCCCCTTGAGTGTGGCTCTTCCTAAGCCTTAGGAGTACCCTAATTAAGTTAATAACAATGTACCTACTGGGCAGATCATCATGGATGTCAGACAGGTAATTATTGTCTACCCTTAAATAAAGGTTGGTTTAGACAGTTAATTCAGAGAGGGAAGATGTGCCTCTTCCCAGGGGGCTGAAGTACCATTAATGGAGGAAAAGCTTTCACAAGGGTAACCTTCTTTCCTGGGTAACCTTCTCAGAAGTTTGGGGGAGGGCATGGAGCCAGCCCACAAAGGGGTTCAGGGGAAGGGCAGTGGGAGCTGAAGAAAGAAGAGGTTAGTGCCACTGCAGACCTGCTCTAGTTCACAACAGAGTAATAGAAAAACAAGAAGATAAGAAGAAAAAGCAGTGGATCTCTATGACCTTGGCACATTGGGACGTGAGTGGAAAGTCAAAGAGAGCTTTTGCTATCTCCGTGAGTATTTGTGTTCAGAGGCGGTTATTTATTTGAACCAGACTGTTAGGCAATGAGTACTCTGACGTGCTATCCTGAACTCTTTGCTTTCTCCAATGTACCTTTTTCTTCTGCAATTTATTTTGTTGTAAAGTACTGGAAACCTTTAATGGCTAACTAAAGTTGTAAAGTAATAGTGTTGAAAATGCTGCAGAGAATCAACAGAAAAGTATCATGGTGAATATTAAAATGCAAATTTTAAGGGGCTTAAAAGCTCCTAAAAAAGTGTTCAAAGTGATAGAGATCAACAGTTAATTTGGAATTTCTTTAGAGTTTAAAAGATAATAGGACACTGTGAAATATTTTACACCAATAAATGTGAAAATTTCGATGAAAGAGATGACTTTTGAAAACATAGGACATACCAAACTAACTCAAAGTCTAAAAATCACCAACTCGAATTGGTAATTAGAAGCAGTTGGTGACTTTAGCAAGAATGGTTTCAATGCAACACTGGATGGCTGGAGAATAAGCAGAGGCAGTAAGAATACACAATTCTTTTGAGGAGTTTTGTTGTAAAGGAGGCAGATCTAAATCTGCCACACATATGATCTTACACACACACACACACACACACACACACACACACACATTAGTGAAAAAGAGACAGGAATGTATTCCCACACCACTTAGCTCTGCAGAGAAGGCCCTTTGCTTCCCCTCACAGCTTTACACAACTCTTGACATGGGTCCGTTTTTGTTTGCAAGTGGGCAGATCATCATGGATGTCAGACAGGTAATTATTGTCTACCCTTAAATAAAGGTTGGTTTAGACAGTTAATTCAGAGAGGGAAGATGTGCCTCTTCCCAGGGGGCTGAAGTACCATTAATGGAGGAAAAGCTTTCACAAGGGTAGCCTTCTTTCCTGGGTAACCTTCCCAGTAGTTTGGGGGAGGGCATGGAGCCAGCCCACAAAGGGGTTCAAGGGCAGGGCACTGGGAGCTGAAGAAAGAAGAGGTCAGTGCCACTGCAGACCTGCTCTAGTTCACAACAGAGTAATAGAAAAACAAGAAGATAAGAAGAAAAAGCAGTGGATCTCTATGACCTTTGCACATTGGGACGTGAGTGGAAAGTCAAAGAGAGCTTTTGCTATCTCCGTGAGTATTTGTGTTCAGAGGCGGTTATTTATTTGAACCAGACTGTTAGGCAATGAGTACTCTGACGTGCTATCCTGAACTCTTTGCTTTCTCCAATGTACCTTTTTCTTCTGCAATTTATTTTGTTGTAAAGTACTGGAAACCTTTAATGGCTAACTAAAGTTGTAAAGTAATAGTGTTGAAAATGCTGCAGAGAATCAACAGAAAAGTATCATGGTGAATATTAAAATGCAAGTTTTAAGGGGCTTAAAAGCTCCTAAAAAAGTGTTCAAAGTGACATAGGTAGAGATCAACAGTTAATTTGGAATTACTTTAGAGTTCAAAAGATAATAGGAGGACACTGTGAGATATCTTATGCCAATAAATGTGGAAATTCAGATGAAAGAATGACTTTTGAAAACATAGGATATACCAAACTAACTCAAAAAGTCTAAAAACCACCCACTCAAATTGGTAATTAGAAGCAGTTGGTGACTTTGGCAAGAATGGTTTCAATGCAAAACTGGATGGCTGGAGAATACAGTAGATACACAGAAACAATAGGCAGGGCTTGGGCTTGCTTACGGCGAAGATAACCTTTTACTGAGGAGGTTATAGGCCTGAGGTGTGACTACTCAACATGACCTACCCAGTTAGGAGTCAATGATCAGATCATCCTGTGAAGTTACTTTCCATAGAGGCCCTTTTCATCATAAATGAATCCGAAGAATGCATCGATGACCATCCTTTTGGTTGCATGGTGTGGTCTCACAGCACCAGGAAGTCTCATTCCTAGCAAGTCTCAGTACCAACATTCTCTTATTGACCTTTGAGGATGGGGCAATATTGTAACCATGGAATGTGAGTTGAGGCCAAATTTTCCCAGAAAGGAAAAGGCAAGTAGATGAAGGCAGTCAGGTCAAATGACCTTCATTTGAAAAACACTCTACATCATTTCTGTCCTATGAATGGTCATGATCTGAGTTTTGCTGTCTTATTTTTCTATGTTTTGCATAAGCCATAAAAAGAGTATTAACAGTTATCTTATACATGTTCAGTAATCATAAGTAGTTAAACTATATAGAAAAATCCAAAGAACAAGTACAACTATTATTATGACTAATATCATTAGCAGACAGGTAAAGACAATTAAACAAAATGGTTTCTGAGTTCAACATCAATCTATAGGTATACAGGCCTTGTTAATATCTTGAGATACCTGTCTACCTCTCATGTCAACAACTTCTCATCCTAGAACTTTTGATGTTCCTTGTAGGTGAAGGCAAGTTATCCTTTCATGGTTAGATATCTGATAAGGTCCCTAACAATGAGGTTGGAGAGTGTCTTTATTTGTTGTCTTTTCCAAGTTTATCCAATTTGAAGTGGGGAGCCAATGGGACACCATGGACCCATGCTGATACCTAGACCCAGGTCCAAGCCACAAGGTGGTCCTGGGTAGGCTTCTTCAAAACCCTGCCAGCAATGCCAATAAATGTCAATGTAAGAAACACCCATATTATATTTGTAGAGAATTTTTATGAATTTATTTGAGCCAAACTGATGACATAGCTGGGAAGCAAGATCTCAAATATTCCCAGATACTTGCCTTTATTATTTATTCCAAAAGGTTGTGCAGAGTAGATAACCATCACCCATCTCAAACCTTTTCAGTGACAAACATTATCTACTGAAAACTCATAGGGTCAGGCATGCCTAAAGTGTGTTTGCAACAAAATATTATTTTTTAAGAATAAGCATTGTGAATTGAAAAGTACAAGATATGTAAGTGAAGGGTAATATTTGGGACAAGAATTCTAAAAAAAGTTAAAATAAAAACTAGACTTCCTCTGAGTATACAGATGATTATGTATTTACTGCTCTGATTGTATTACTTTAGGCAAGGGAGAATGGCTAGAGAAAATGAACCTATTGAGAACTTGTCCAATACACATCCTGGAAATTAGTCATAGATCTTTATAACTCCTACATATCCTCTCATCCCTATCTAGAACAAAATTATAAAGAAAAAAATAGTGCCATCACCATGTTGATGTAGCTGTAATCCACAGAGCCCCAGGGATCTAAGCAAAGGGTGAAAACTCCCAACTGTTCAACACTCTAATGAGTGTTGTCAACTGACTTAAGCACATTATAGAAATTAGATTCTTTTTGGTAACCTCCAGTATTTAGAAGAAGTTGAGGGCTAGAACTCTCCTCCTTCCACAAAATCACTTTGAACAATGAAGTCAAGGGTCAGACAGCATTCTGCTTCACAAACAAACACTTATCCGCAATGGCTATACCGCCTGTCCTTGTTAGCTTGATGAAGTTCAAATTCTGTTTTATCACATGCCCAACTCATACGTTTATGAAAGGCTCACTTTAGATAAAAGTAATAAATTCTAACATAATTCAGCTAACTTCTTAGAATCAGTTAATGACAATCCTCAGGGAAATCTGCTGAACAAAGAAATATGCTGGGATTCTGCACCTAGGGGGCCATTACAAAGGTGTGGGCTAAGAACCTGGGCTCACCTAGGTACTTAGATCTGGTTCTGACTGGTACAAAAATCACCAAAAGTCTGAACATCTGAACATCTTGACCACCATATTTTTCACCGAAGAAAAATTCATTTCTAGAAGCTAGTTAGGCTAAGTAACCAGGCCTATTTTGTTGACCTACAAATAAAAAATAAAAAAGCCTGGCCAATGTGTTCAGTGGTTGAGCATAGACCTATAAACCAAGAGGTCACAGTTAGATTCCCAGTCAGGGCACATGCCCAGGTTGCAGGCTCGAGCCCCAATAAGGGGCATGAAGGAGGCAGCCAATCAATGAGTCCCTCTCATCACTGATGTTTCTATCTCTCTCTCACTCTCCTTTCCTCTCTGAAATCAATAAAATAAAATTTTTAAAAAATAGCAGAAGCACTTGTAGTAGGTTTTTTAAAGGTTACTATAAATCCAAAGACTGTATTCTCAATTAAGTTTGGATGTAGATTTAAAAAACTTCCCTTCCAACGACTAGTTGGGGTAACTAGTCCTAGACTAGTCTTCCCACCATAAACAACTGGGTGTTTGTATGTATTGATTGTTTTCAGATGTTGAACAACAAGCAATTATTGTGATCCCTGAGAGAAAGGAAACATACAAGGTGAGCCTGGTGATCACTCAGCTTTCTGACTGTAGGCACTTTTCAGACTATGGGACAAACCCAAGCACAGCACAGCCATCTCACTGAGCTGAGGGTCAGAAAGAAGGGAGCTGCACAGAGAAATCTGCATGGTGCTCTCTTGAATGTCCGCACACTAATCTGCTCATTCCTTAGATGCAACTTCATGAGGTGAGACAAAGAAGAACTATTGGGAAAAGAAAAAACACCAGTGAACTGAACAGCTATTGGAATTTCTAGAGGCCTGGAAGGTGATTTCGTTGCAACCAACCAGAATGGAGGTATGTCTGAACCTTCTGGACATTCAGTGGAGACCCTACAAAGGCGATGCCTTAGGAATAGGGCTAATCTAATTCTAAAGTAAATGCAATTCAAGATCCTCTATAGCAAATCTTACAAATAATCTCAAAAAGATCAGGCTGATTTTTAAGAGTATTAACTGCCCACTAGAACAAAACTCTTTAAAGGAAAAAGTAAAATCCACCAACTCAACTATATAGCACTCACAATATCTAACATACAATAAATGATTTACTAGACATGCAAAGAAAGAAAATATAAGCCACAAGGAACAGAAAAATCTATCATTAAAAAGATCCAGAAATAACAGTGATAATGAAATTAATACATAAGAGCTTTTAGACAGCTATTATAAATATGCTTAAGATTTTAAAAAATCATAAATAAGCACTAAAGAGTATACCAAAATGCATTGGCATTATCTATTGGAGAATATAAAGTAAATGCACTTAGAAATAACATTTGCATAGTGTAGGTAGCTGTATGAATTCCATTTAGTATAGTTATTCAACTTTCTCTTTTTCACCTCATTACCTAACAACTTATGAGGTTGTAAAGTTTCCCAAGGGCCAGAATGAACATATTTCTACATTTGTAGGCTATTCCCTGGGTTATGTGTCATAGAAAATGTCCAGAAAGAAACCACTGATCAATCTTATTAGGACTCCTTTCATCTTGGAAACAGCATTATCTTGGGAAATGTGAGTTGGGGTATGGCGGAGGCACTGAGTAGAGTGCAGCAGCAGCTCTGGATGCATGTGGGAGTCATAACTGCAATTCGACAGTCATTGATTTCATGCATGCTATGTATACAGCACGGGACTAGGCACTGATAGCCATAGAGACATACTAGTATATAGGCATTGAGATAGAAACATAAATACCTATAATTAAAATTGGAGTAAAAGAAGTGTTTTAGTACAATGGCAATGTATAAGTGAGACATAATTTCAGTAGGAGTGATGGGGTGAGACTTAGAAGAAAGGCATATGAAGGAGAGCAGTGTTCAGAATTTATTTATATATCCTATATAATAAAAGCATGATATGCTAAGTGTCCGACCAATCGGTCGATCATTTGGTTGACCACTGGACCAGTCGCTATGACATGCACTGACCAACAGGGGCAGACACTCCGGTAGGTTAGCTTGTTGGGGTCTGGCCTATCAGGACTAGGCTAGACAGCCCCAATCAGCCACTCAGCCACGATCACTGGCCAGGCCAAGGGATCTCACCCATGCACAAATTTGTGTACCGGGCCTCTAGTATATATATCTTTTTTTTTTTTTCCAGAGAGGAAGGGAGGGGAAGAGAGAGATAAAAACATCAATGATGAGAGAGAATCATTGATTGGCTGCCTCCTGCACATCCCCCACTGGGGATCGAGTCCTCAACCCACGCATGTGCCCTTGACCGGAATGAAACCTGGGACCCTTTAGTCTGCAGCCAACACTCTATCCACTGAGCCAAACCTGCTAGAGCCAGAATTTCTTCAACCTGGCATCTACAGAGTCTTAGGGCTTTTGTTCTATGGGCCCTTATACTCTTTCTCCACTCTTGGCTCTAGTTTAGGATTCTTTCATTCTGAGTACTCCTAGGTTTTCCCTAGGAAGACATGGAAGGGTGCTTCTATGGGCCCCCTGGGCACCAGTCAGTCTCTGACTTGTTTCCACTCTATGCCATCCCGTACCAGCAGCAACTTCTTCATCTACATCAGAAGGCGTTCCTCACCAATGGAGCTCAAAGCTCTGGGAAGGATGCACCTGGAGCACCAAGACCAGGAGGGAGGAAGGAAGGAAACTCTGGCTGAACAGGTGGACCTGAACACTATTGACTTTGTCAATAAAGGGAAAAGCTACAAAAGCCAGAGCTTTTCCTCATATCACATCTTTTACCTCAGAATTTCTATCTTGCTTCAATAAGAAACTTAACGTCTAATTTAATCAGGGTGGAGAAAGAAGTCTTGAATATAAAGTTGTGGAGTGTCTCCTAGCACTGTAAGGACAAGAATAATGTTGGAATATGCAAAGGCATCATGTAGCAGTCAAATGAGGCTTAACTCTGAGTCTTACAGATGTGACTTTTGGGTCTTCCAGGTGTTTCCTGTTGGTGCAGAAAGATGGATCACAACGGGGTCTGAGCTAAGCAATCAGTGCAGGGGATCAAGAATGGGGTAGTGAGCTATAAAAGAACTTAGTCATTTCATGAATTCTGGAAACTCAAAAGGTAAGAGGAGTTAAATGAGTTGATTAAATAAAAATGAGGAATAGTGTGTGTAAATAGCTCACTGGGAAACATCAAGAACAATAAATGAAAATATTTAGAGATTGGGGAAAGAAGGAAGCTCCACACAGGACAAGTTAGAGGCTAAGGTTGCAGAGCTAAGGATGAGGCATGGCTGAGAATTTCTGTAGGAAGAGTCCAATAGTCATGGATTGAGATAAATATACTAGGAAAGCGGTCTGAACCAAGAAAGATGCTCCTGAGGCCTTATCGTTAAAGAACCCTGATCCCCAGAGATATAGGCAGCTAAGAGAAACCTCAGCTTCATCTAGAAGGAGAAAGAAAGAGAAAATGGAGCATAAATTAGCAGACAAAGACATGAAGACAGGAAAGGAGTGTTCAGTATTTATTTATTAAATTAAATTTATTAGAGTGACATCCTATATAAGAAAATGGTGATATGCAAATTGACCCTAACAGGGGAACGACTGGGAACAACCGGTTGCTATGACGTGCACTGACCACCAGGAGGCAGATGCCTAATACAGGAGCTGCTCCCTGGTGGTTAGTATGCTCCCACAGGGGGAGCTCCACTCAGCCACAAGCTGGGCTGACAGCTGCAAGCGCAGCGGTGGTGGTGGGAGCCTCTCCCACCTCCTTGGCAGTGCTAAGGATGTCTGACTGTGGCTCCTGGGCTGCCAGAGGGATGTCTGACTGCCAGCTTAGGCCCAATCCCCTGGGGAGTGGACCTAAGCTGGCAGGTGAACATCCCCAGAGGGGTCCCGGACTGCAAGAGGGCACAGGCCAGGCTAAGAGACCCCCCCAAGTGCACAAATTTTCATGCACCAGGCCTCTAGTCTATATATATAAAAGCTTAAGTGACCGTTCAACTGGTAGCTATGACACGCACTGACCACAAGGGGGAAGATGCTCAGTGCACAGGCATGGAAACATGGAACAGATTGAGGAATTTCAGAGGGAAGGGGGCAGAGGAGAAGGCAAGAAGAGATTAAGAGGGCAAAGATCTTATATGCATACTAGAGGCCCGGTGCACAGATTTGTGCACCAGTGGGGTTCCTCAGCCTGGCCTGCAGGGATTGGGCTGAAACTGGCAGTCCGACATCCCCCGAGGGGTCCTGGATTGCGAGAGGGCATAGACCCCACTGGTGCACCAGGCCTCTAGTTAGTTAATAAGATTATATATGTTTCAAGTGTACAATTCTATGGTATATCATCTGTATATTGCATTGTGTGCCCACCACTCAAAGTCAAATTTTCTCCCATCACCATGTATTTGACACCCTTTATTATTTACTAACCCCCTTCCCTCTGATAACCACCATACTATTGTCTGTGTCTATGAGTTATTGTTTGTTTGTTTTTCTTATTTGTTCATTTGTTGCTTTCAGTTTTATATCTTAAGAGGCCCGGTGCACAAAATTCATGCACTGGGGGGGGGGGGCCCTCAGCCCAGCCTTCCCCCTCTCACAGTCTGGTAGCCCTCAGGGGATGTCCTACTGACGGCTTAGGCCCGCTCCCCGGGGGGAGCGGGCCTAAACTGCAGTCTGGCCTCCCTCTGCAGGCTGATCAGGGGAAGGTGCCACCCCCATCACCCCGCTGCTGGCCGTCAAGGTGTTTTCATCAACACGAACTCCATTCCCTTTACCACAAAAAAAATGACAACTTTCTTTAGGCATTTTCAAGATGTCTCTTTCATAGGATATGACCTTTCTTTCTTTCTTTCTTTCTTCCTTTCTTTCTTTCTTTCTTTCTTTCTTTCTTTCTTTCTTTCTTTCTTTCTTTCGTTCTTTCTTTCTTTCTTCTTTCTTTTTTTTTTTATCCTCCCCTGAGGATATTTTATCATTGATTTTTAGAGAGCATGGAAGAGAGAGGGAAAGACAGACAGAAACATCAATATGAGAGGGATACTTCAATTGGTTGCCTCCTGCATGAGCCCTGATCTGGGCCCCAGCCAGGGAGGGGCCTGCAACCTAGGTACATGCCCTTGATCAGAATTGAACCCAGACCCTGTGGTCCACAGGCCGAGGCTCTATCCCCTGAGCCAGCCCAGCTAGGGCAGGATATGACATTTCTTAGACCCTCCAGCATCAGACCTTCATTTTTTCCTCCAGGAGTGAGGTGGAAAAACCCTAGATCACCTTCTTGGATTCTTATTACCAAAGTTATCAAGAACACTGAGAGTGGTGTACAGGGAGCTTAGCCAATGAGCTGTAAGAAAAGGTGTTTCCTCTGCAGCTCACATGCAGAGGCGGGCCTGCTGGGGGCTGTCTCCCAGTAGAGGCGTCCTGAGCATGCCCCCCACCCCCCTGCAGGCCTGCTCGGCCCTGCTTTCTGCAGACCTGATCATGGCTGTGGTGACTGGCCAGCCCTGCTTCCTGTTCTCTGCAGGCCTGCTCCACCCTGCTCTCTGTAGACCTGATCATCGCTGCAGCGACTGGCAGGCCCTGCTCCCTGCTCTCTGCACGCCTGCTGGTTGCCTGTGCAATCTATGGCTTGCCTCACTACACAGCAGTCCCCATCCCCCTCCCCATCTGCGCTCACAGTCTATAAAGAGGTAATATGCAAATGTGTTCAGTCATGACCATTATGGAGTCCCAGACAAATTTTCATATTACCTCTTTATATATATGTGTGTGTGTGTGTGAAATCATATGGTTCTTGACTTTTTCTGTCTAACTTATTTTGCTTAGCATGATGTTCTCGAGATTCATGTTGTCACAAATGGCAGTATTTCATCCTTTCTTATGGCTGAGTAGTATTCCAGTGTATATATGTACCACATCTTCTTTATCCAATTATCTATCAAAGGACACTTCAGTTATTTCCATGTCTTGGCCACCATGAATAATGGTGTAATGAACGTAGGCGTGCATATATCTTTGTGAATAAATGTTTTCAAATTTTTCATGTAGACACCAGAAGAGGGATTGCTAGGTCATATGATAACTCTATTCTTGATTTTTTGAGGAACCTCCATACTTTTTCCCATACTGGCTGTACCAGATTACGTTCCCACCAGCAGTGAATGAGGGTTTCATCTTCTCCACAACTTCTTCAACACTTGTTATTGTCATGTTGACGTTCCGTGCTCTAAATCTATGACAAATTTGTTAGTCATATGAAATTCTTTGCTTGTAACACATCTCATTTCTACATAGTTGTACATAGTTTGTACAACTAAGATTTTCTGTATAGTATAAGAGTTTTAATTTTGAACCAATAGTAAGTATTCCCTGCACCTTTTATTAACTCTCTTTGAGACATTTACCATAATTTACCAAATTCTGGTTTCTAACTTTGCTGGGGTCCAACCCCAGCGGGTCCAGGGGTTCCCAAAGGTGTGGACGGAGACGGTGAAGAAGGAATGACACGGAGACAGCCTTCAGTTGATCAGCAGCCTAGTCAGGACCTCTAGCCAGGATCTCCAGCCAAAGTTCTGGTCCCAGGTTCTGGTTAGGATCTGATGTTTATTGTCTTGTTACATCTGTATTTATACCAGTCGATTTTAATCCTGTCAATTTCTATTGCAAAGGTTAGGGCGTTTCTTATCTCCATTCAGGGGGTAAAGATTATGTAGCTTAAGCGTGATTGTTTGTAGTTAAAGTGATTAACTACCCGCCTGGCACTTAGTTAAGGGGTTGTATCCTCTCCCTAACTTCAGGGAAAAATCCCTACCTGGGGAAACAACCTTTCTCTGAGAGGTGACCTTGGTTAAAACACATAGCGCCAAGAAGGGGAGCAAACATATTAAGAACAGTATGCTATATACGCCAGGTCCCTTGAAACATATGTTGTGCAGATGTTTCTTTCCTGCAGCGACTGTGTCAAGCAGCAAGGATGGACCGGCTTCCAGCATAACTTGTTCTCTTCATTTCTTCAAATACTTTATCTATGGAGATATTTGCACACATGCAATATTAACCATCACATTTCCTCATTCTCGCTCTATCTTATCTTCTTATCTTGACTTATTCTGCCCACATATAGAGTTCCAACCGAAGCCTGCTTTTTCTACGGAACCTTCCCTGACTTCAAATTGTTAGGTAAGAAGTTAGACATGAGTGGCTGTGGTGAGACCTGCCCTGGGGTCCTGAACAGGGGTCCAACCAACATTATCTTCAGACTGCCTTTCTATGGGAAGCCCAGCAGACCACCAGCAGGCAGGTTCAGAGCCAGCTGGTTCTTGGTACAAGCTCAGAGGAAAACGACATGACCTCAATGCAACCTTACAAAGGTCCTAGACTAATTATATTTGGTTTTGACCCTCCCCCAGCCCTATGTGTTTTTCTATGTACATTATACGTAAGGGCATGCCCAGAAGAAAGAAAGTTTCTGTCGATCATCCCTGAATGGGAATGAAAGGCTCCACCCAGAAAACCCCTCTTTTAAAACCAGGAGTTGGGAGCACTTGCCATTTGGTCTCTCTCTCTCTTGACTGGCCCAATCCTCATTTGCTTTACTCCATTTTGCTTTACTTTTATTTTTATTGACCTTAAAGTCATTTCTGCATCAACAAAAAGAACGGAGGTCCCACCCTACCCCCACCTCTTCAAATATGTTCCTATGAGCAGGGTTCAGTGAAAACAAGTAAACAAACAAACGCCGGCCGGCCGCGGTAACGCCCCTCTCTTACCGGTCTGGGAAACGCTCCTCTCTTACCAGCACTGCATGATCTGGGAAACGTTCCTCTCTTATGGGCACTGCATGGTCTGGTCAGTTCCTCAGGATGCCACCTTTAGTCACAGTTTTCCGCAGTCACAAAATCCAAATCTCAAATCTCCCGGCGCCAGCAAACCCGAGGAATTCCTTTCCCCGGTCAGGGGCTGTGTCTGTCCCAAGAGACGCGGCTGCCTGCCATGCGGTCTCCCTCCGACCCTCTGGGCTCAGGTCTGGCAAACTTTCCTGCCCAGATCCCTGGTTTTTAACCTTTCCAGGGGAGCTCTGCCCTTCCCGGCTGCAAACCGTCTCACCAGCTGAGTAAA